TCTGCCGAGGTGAGCAAAGGCGAGCCACTTAACCTCTGCCTCTGCTTCTCGACCTACCAAAGATGACATTACCATCCGCCTCCAACACATTTCTGCTTAATGACCCATAAGAACCAAACCAAGAGAAGAAATGCAAGTTGGAGGAGGTGAGTAGCAAAGAGTAGATCATTCCATCCCTGGATGAGTGAGGAACCACCTGGAAGGGTCAGTATCGAAAACAGAGAGGGGAGCACCCGCCCTGGATTCAGGAAGACCCAAGTTCAAATCTGGCTCCAGACACTTGACACTTACTAGCTGTGTGACCCTGAGCAAGGCACTTCTTCCACTGTCTCGCAAACAAAGAAATAAATAACTAAGTGAAAGAAAGTGGGATGCTTTCTCTCATCCTTCTAAGCCTGGAAGAAAGCATGTTTAAGTATGTGCACACACATGTAAGGGGTGTGTAGGTACATGCATATATATGGAAGAGAAGTCCAGAAGAGCGAGGGAGCTCATGCCAGATGACGATCATCTTCTGTTTGTGGGAAAAGGGAAGCAAGAGCAGGAATGTGAAGAAGGGTCTGGCAAACCACCTTGGAAGACCAGAGAAAAAAAAGAAAGAGGTCGCACTTCCAGCGTCGATGCCGAAGCAGGTCCAAACTTGGGCTTTCGCTGACGTTGGGAGCTCCCAGCAGGCAGCGCAATCCCAGATCATCTGGACCCAGGTGATGCAGACAGGAGGGGTTGGGGCAAGTGCGGAACCCTGATCTTCCTGACTTGGAGGCCAGCTCTCTGTGTCTTCTTGACAGGCACACACAGAAACCCGCTCAGACTGGTCACGCCTGACGATGAAGTTCAAGCCCCTGTTCTCCGAGTCTTTCTCAGTCTAGAACAGAGGTTCCTCCACTTGCTTGGTCTACCCTCCCCTTTTCAAAAAAAAAAAAAATACCCAGCAGCCCCTTGGAAATCTTTCTTAACCCTCTAATTTTTTTTCCCGAAATTTGCATCATTTCAAAAATATATAAAATAATTTTTTAAAAATGATGCATCTTAAATTTAATAATTTGTTGTAACCATGGTTTTTTTCCTGCACTGAAATTATGATGTAACCATACAGTATCATATCACAAACAAGTCATTACTTGTACATATATTTCTACCAATGCATGCCAGACCTCCCGACAATGCACAACATGCTTGCCTGTCCACACTTGCTTGTTAAGACCTATCAGGCAGACTCGACCACTCATGGGTTATAACTTGCAGTTTATGTGTTTCTTTGGAAAACAGCCTCATCACTATGACTTTAACTTTGCTACGCAACAGATAAGACACATAAGTACAAAGCTGTTTCAAAATGTTCTTATCTTCCCTTCTTTTCTTCTGCTTCCACTGCCCTTATTTTTATTCAATGCCCCCCCCACTGCCCCCCGCAGTGGTTCCAGCGCCCCCCATTTTGGGACCCTCTCATCTAGACCGAGAAACAAAAGAGCTCCTTGGACTTTCAGACTGAGTCTCAGCTAGCAACAGCCATATCACAAAGAGCGCTCGACTGGGAGTTGCAGGCCCTGTGTGCCCAGAGTCTCTGTCCCTCACTACCCAGGCAACCTTCTGAAAATCTCTTGTCTCTGGGCTCAGTTTCTGCATCTGCAAATGGAGAGGGCTGGTCTACAACAGGGCTTCTTAAATTTTCTCCACTTGCCGCCCCCTATGAGGTCGCAATCTGCAGTTGAAGTTCCAGACTACAGGGCCCCAAAGGTTCTTCTGTCCTGATTATTTTGGTGCCCATAATTTTCTGTTATCCTGCTGACTCCAACAGACAGCAAGGAGACGTGTATCCACTCTGCCCGCCCCCCAACGACGACCGACCGTTGCACCCGAACAGACGATGAGCCTGGGAAGGCCCCGGGCATTCCCCCAGCCTGGGGAGCCCAGACACAAGCCCTGCTCATTCTTCAGGTCTCTGGGCAGTTTCTTTTGTTTCTCTGTAATGGTGCTTTGGCTCCAGAGATCTGCTGCTAGTGCAGAACAGACACAGTCACACATGTGTGTCAGGCACTGCGGCTCCTCTCTACAGCTGCCTCGGCCTCTCTTGTGTACAGCTTTCCACGACCAACCGAGTCCACAGTCCAACAGGATTCCTAAGCAACGGCTCCTGCTTTGTGGGGTGTCAACTGTAAAAAGAGAGGTCACATAAATGGAGCTGAAGCCTCCAGGGTTCCTTAAAGGGCTTAAATCCCACGTTTCCAGGCAAACTTCCAAGAACCACAAACTTCTTCTCTTTCAAGCATTCCTGGTGCCTCCCCAAGGCGTTTTAAACATTCTTTCCACATTTGTTCTTGATGTTCAGTTGTTTTCAGTCATGTCTGACTCTCCGTGACCCCATTTGGGATTTTCTTGGCAAAGCTAGAGCGGTTTGCCACATACTTCTCCAGGATCCTCATTTTACAAATGAGGAAACAGAGGCACACAGGGTGAAGTGACTTACCCAGGGTCACGAAGTTGGTAAGTATCTATGACGAGATTTAAACTAGTAACAACATCTTAAACACAAAGTCTTTTAAAGACCAAGACATTCTCCTGGAAGGGGGGGGGTAGGTTCATTTTTAAGTCTTCTGAAGATCTCCATCTTAGCACTAATAATTAGGTGATTTCAAGAATGCCTCTTAATTTAACACGTTATAACAAAGAGTCCATCAAACCAGAAAAGAACCAAGGCATTGAGTTTAACCAAACCTGAATTCCTGAAAAAAAAATGACCACACCGTACAAGAGAAATGGAATGACCATTTTAGGCAGGTCATTTTCCAGCTGGTTCTTCATTTTTCCTTGCAACAGTCAGCTGACAAACATTTCTTACACGCCTTCCACGTGCCAGACACTGCGTGAGAGCAGAGGACACAAAGGGGTAAAAACAAACCCGAGCAGACCAAGCTGTGGCATATGCTCTCAAGGGGCTTCCTTCCACACAGAATGCGGCAGCACGACTGGCGCCGTAAAGCCTGGAGCGCCGAACAGTAACAGAATGGTGCGAGCTATCAACAGGGAGCTGAAATGGCCATGATGGCTTTGAGCGTGGGCTCAGATCAGGAAGTTTGTGAGAGATGTTTTTGTAAGTCAAGAAATAAAATTAAATATAGAACATAAAAAAGGAAATCTTTCTATAATCATAATTATGCATAAATTCAAATGTATGACATAAAAGAATATTTAAAAACACTGAAAAGTATAACATTAAAAATAACAGTGCCTATAAACCATAAATAAGTGTGACTATTAGAAACTTTTTCCTTTATAAAACAGCTTTCAATAATAATTTCTTGGTTAACTGGCATTTTTTTTTTACCTGTAATGCGGCCTTATGTCAGCATTTAAGAGAAAAGAGTAAAAACTACATCATGACTAATGTTAATATAACTTTGAAAGGAAATTAATTTTAAAAGCAGATTTTAAATTACATAATTAGAATTACATCTACAGATTAGTCTGGAGCTCTGATGATACTTGGTCCTACAGACTAGTCCAATGAAGACAGAATGATGTCCTGCTCACAAGCAACCTCTGTGGCCAATGGTCGGGCCCAGCCCATGGCTGAACAAGACTCCCTTCTACCACATGGCCTCCAAATGGGCAGCCAGAGGCATTCTGGCCATTCCTTTACTTTAACTGAGCATCACCTTTAATGAGTCACCTCTGGTCTGCCCTTTCTGATCCCAGGAGGATTCTCTTTGGCAGAGAAAACAGAAGCCAAATAAAACTCCACAGCTCGGCCTTTTCTCCACCCACCCTGAGCACTGGGCCCATCTCTTTTGCAATCCTCCTTTTCCCCTCGACATCACTTTAAAATCCTTTTTTGTCTTTCATCGTCTTCTCTTCCCCTCTATTCAGGACCTTCCTCTAAAAACAAATTTCATTCAGCCCAGCAAGCAAAGATATTGCTAGCGTGGCTATTTAATGAGAAGCAGCTGTCTTCATAGACGTTGGCACAACCTGGTGTATGTCATAGAATACTTTCAGGTTTCATGTATTCTACATAAAGCTCTAAAGATTCTTCAGGGAAATCTGGGGACAGTCCTTCTCTCCCACAGTTAAAGGAGACGGGTCAAGGACATTTTGAAGCAAAATCATGCCTAAATTAAACCTATTTTCACACTTCAAAAGTTACTAATTATATAAGTATTTGATACACAAATTTAATTTGATAGCTGATATTTTAAAATGGAAATGAATTCCTTCTGACTCTCCTCAAGGTCTTGGGTCTACAGAACGCTACCGAGGAGGAACTTAATTTTTCAACGATCTCGTGTGACAAAGGCCAACAACATGGGCAACATTCTCTTCCCCAGTGATCACCCCTTTTTCCTTCATTTTCCTCTGGCGATTCTCTTCCCAAGATTCAATTTCTCCTCCTTTCTACTCTTGATAAGTCAGAACAAACCGAGACCCTTAAACCTATGCAAGAGGGTGCTTGAGACCGCGCTTGCTGGGTACATCGAGTTTCCTATTATTGTTCATGGCGCTAACGTTCAAATTTTCATTTGAAAAAAGCCGCTTTCATCATTGTACCTTTTGGACTATGTGCTGGGTTCTCCTTTCCTCATCCTCAGGTGTAAGCAGGTGACAACAGAAACACCAGAAGGACGAGGACCCGGACTTCTCATTTAGAACACAATTTCCGTTGTAGCTTCCCTTCTCTTCCCTGTTACAAGCAAAGGTAACAGGGCCCAAGGCCTGGGCTTTTTGTTCACCCAAAAGGCCCTCCTTTCAACTTAGTGTAAAGGAGACCCCCAGTCACAGCACCAGGTCAACCCCTTGGCTTGCCTCCTGACCCAAGGGAGCTGCAGGTGCCTTTCTGAACCTCTGGCTGGGCTCTAAGTCTTACCAAAGGGTCAGAGGAAAGACCTCACTTCCAAGGCAAGGCTTAGGAAAGAAGAAGGCCGCAGGTCACCAAACACGCTAACTGAGAAGGATTCCGACTGGCTGCCTGCCATCACTCCCTACATCTTACAGCTGGTCAGTACCTTCTGCTGGATGGTGGAATGTTTCTGCTCCATGTCTCTCTTCTCCTTGGCTGCATCCACCACCAGCCGATCCAGCTGTAGGGGAAGAGGAGAACAAGTGAACATGGCTCACAATTTCCTTCTGAAATCAGGGAGCGGAGGACTTGGCTGGTGTCATGTGACCTTCCCAAGCCAACTGGCCTCACTGTAAAACATCAGTGCTATCCCTGTAAAGGAGCAGAGCATCTGTCTGTGACACCCAGGACTCGAGGAAAAGGCCCACATTTTCTCCCAACCTGAGGACCGTCTCACAGCTCAGTCTAGGGCAAGGCACCTCCCGGCACACCTCAAGGATACTGTGTGCTTTAGCAGCTTCCTGCTGGACCCGCTGAGCCAACCCTGGCCACAGGAGGCCAGGCCACTGGAGACACCCTCTGGCAGCCACCCCCAGCCAACTCCCATGACTTCCCAGATTACCCTGAGGGGAGAACTCAGCTTTCAGGATGACTTCGTAACACAAAGACCAAATCCAAGAAGAAAAACCCCAAAACAGCTGTCAGCTCTCCAAAGGCAGGCAGCCATGGTTTTTGTTTGTGTCTTGGAAGCCCCAGGCCCAGGTATGGCTCCCGACAAATACTTCTGAGGGACTCTCTGCTCTTAGTCATCAGGGGATGGGGGCTTCAGTCCTGAGCTAAGCCAGTCTCCAGAGGTCAGCACCCAAAGCAGGAAAAGGGCAGCATCCAACAATGTAAACTGAGCCGTCCACAGCAAAGGAACACAACTAAAGCCCCCACGGACGCACTCAACACTGTTAGCCGCCACCCCCCCCATTTTTCTATCACCTGCATACTTAATTAGCTCTAGGATGGGGCACAAGTCACTACCTCCCCGAGACTCAGTTTCTTCATCTATGAAACAGGAAAACAGCACATGCCTCCTAAGACTGTTGTGAGGATCAATATGTGAACTTTCAGGTGTTACATAAATGTCAGCTGTCAGTGCTATGCATGTGAATGTCAAATCAAACGCTTCTGTCTAAGGCATCAAAGTACCATTAACAGAGAAGCATTTTCTAATAACAAATTCTCCACTAATACTCAAAGTCCATCCTTTGCTTTTTTTTTTCCTTTTTTTCTTTTTTAAAGTCCATCCTTTCCTAAGGCAGCTATAAAAAATGGGTTTACCTGGGCAATCTGACTTTTTGGTCAGATGAGACCAACCAAGATGTAAATAAAATGAAGGCTGGAGCCAAAGCTGCCAGGACACGTCTGCATTTCCTGCCCTCTCTGCCCTTCTGGTCCTCTGAGAAGACCACCAAATTCTGGACAAGATAAGCCCCTATTAGAATCTGGCCTCTTTCCTTGCAATCCACATCATGCCTCCTGTCCCCACCATGTCACCCAATGCGCAGCACTTAAAAATCAGAAGCTGCTCCTCCCAGCCCCTCGCTTTTCCTGTCCTTCTCACTCCCAGCTAGGTTCTGATCAAACAGGGGCTCACAAGCTCTCCACACAATGTCTTGAGCCATGGATCAGCCAGCAGAGGGGCTAAAATGGAAGAAACGGAATCAAAGAAAACAGCCATCAGCGCCTTCCTGGAGCCGCTGTTCAGTGACACTCAGAAGACTACAACGTCAGCGCTGGTGCAGCCAACGAGAAGAGGGACCGCAGGTGCTCAGCAACAGGAAAGAAAAAAATCCACCCCATGCATGTTGTCGAGTGTGAATGTGATTCCCAAAGTCCTGCTCCTCAGGCTCATCTTGGTTCTCGGCCCACAAAACAGGCCGATTCTTATGAAGAAAGACTGGTGTGAACGAGGAGACGTTCTGGTCACTGCTCAATGAGCACGACTAAAATCTTCGCTGGTGACTCTGGTGGTATGCTCCCCATAAAGTCCCTATTTTCTCCCCTGAACTCGATTTGATCCAATGCTAACACCAACTAAGGGTCTCCTACATGCTGAGCACTGTCCTAGGTCCTGGGGCTACCAAGACAACAAACAAAATAGCTTCTGCCTTCCAGCTGAAGGTGAGACACAAACACAAATGAGTGTGATACAAGATACTCTGCGTTGAGGGAAGATCCAAGTAAAGAGGGGACCCGCGGCAGCTGCAGGAGAGCGGCGACACCCGAGCTGAGCCTCAAGGGAGATCCCTTTAAACTCCCTCTCCGTGAGCAAGCAGAGCCTCTCCCAGGGAACCCGGGCATAAGTTACCTGAGCACCGAGATCCTTCATGTAGGGCCCGAGTTCACTGAAAAGATCGTATCCCTGATGGAAGAAGGCCAGGTGGGCATACATGAAAGACAACATCTGGCAGGAAGAAAAACACATCACAGCTGTTAAAACCAACTTTATTAAATCCTGACTCGATTTGCTAAGAACATTATGATGTATCATGAAGAGAAATCCACTGGGGCATGGCGGGAATTATTTCCTCCAACTGAAGGTCACCTGCACTCCCACCTTTGGGTAGCACGCATTTGTGAACAAACCTCAGGTACCTACGGGGAAGAGTTCACATTTTTCAAAGCAAAGTTAAACAGAGGCTCCTTTTTCTGCCCCTGTTTAAAATGACACAAATCCACCTGTCTGTGGCAGGCCACTGCAGGTTACTGTTGAACCCGTATTGAGACCTGACCTCTTTTCATCCCAGACCTGTCTGATGCACACCCATTTATATAAACGTGTGCCCTTTTATTAGACTGAACCTGGTTTGCCAGCACACACAGACACAGACACACACACACGCACACGAAACTGGCACATGGTTTCCATAGGGGATTTTAAAAAAAGGAGGGGCTCAGCAGTGGGCTTTGTTTCCTTATCTGTAAAATGGGAGAGAAAGAATCAAGGGTCCAAGGTGGCAACATTTCGATGGTGTCTCTGACCCGACTTAGCTCTTCAAGATTCATTTAAAAGGAATCAGAATGTCTTATTTAACTTAGGCCACAAGAAAACAATTATGAAAAATTCACAGAAAGAACAGTAGTTTTGTGACAAGATTTAAAGTCACAATTTTCTCTGCCAGAAACTCAAACAAAAGGAACTGCCCAGGCTTTCAAAAACTGTAAAAATGGCTCAACTCGGACCTGGTAAAACTAGAAATAAACAACCCAATGTGTGCACTGACTCCAGCAGTGACCACCTGTCCAGTTCTACACCCCCAAAACACAAGCCGACTTCCATGGGTCAAGAGAGCAAAGAGAAGGCAAACACCATGGAGGAGGCATCTGTAGGTGACAGGCCAGGCCACGCTTCCCTGATGGGGCAGGCAAGGTGGGAACTCCAGTGCCCAGGAAACCTCATCCATTCAGACCCTCTCTTGACTGGGTTCTCAGAGCACAGGAAGGAATGAGACCCTTTTTAAACGACCAAAAAGTAGCCAAGCCCTCCTGTGCACCCAGCTGGGCTTTCAGAGCCTGCCTGCATTGTGAGCCAACCCCCTGAGCCCTCCGGCATTTGACTCAGGAGAGAGAGGCTGCTGGACCTGGGGGCAGGTGACCTCTGAAGGACCTGAGATATACCGCCTGCCCTGCCCATGCCAGAAGCGTTACTGAGGTCTCTGTGAAAGAACCCACCAGCCTGGGACCCAGGTGGGGCCCTCAGAAGGGCTGCCCATAGCTGGGCCTGTCTCCAAGCCTGGGCAGCTCGGGAAGCTGCTCCGGCACAGTCAGAAGCCAGGCTCTCTTCCCAGCCACAGAAAGGAATCCTTCTAGGCATGAGTGAGACATTGATGAGAGGGGACCCACTTCCTACCAAAAAGCTTTGCATACATGGAAAGGGTTTGTATTCACCATCAAAACTGGAGAAAAAGTATAAGCAAACAAAGGCCAAAGGAGAAGAGTTCCAAAAATATGAAACCAAAGGCTCGATCGAGGTAGGCCACAGAGCGTCTAATAATGTACTGAAGGGGCAACTCCAAACCTGGCTGTGCCCATGAAGGAGGGACACCCAAACAGTGTAGATGCTCAAGACGTGTCATGGGAGGGAGAAGAGAATGGAGGGAGGGAAAGGGAAAGAGACAGAGAGAGAAGGGAGGAGGAATAACAGACAGAGAGAGAAGGGGAGAGGGAGACAGAGAGAAGGAGAGAAGGGAGGGAGGGAGAGACAGAGAGACAGAGAGAAGTAGAGAAGAAGGGAGGGAGGAGAGACAGAGAGAGAAGGAAGGGAAGAGAGAAACAGATGGAGAGAGAAAGAGAGAAGGGGAGGGGGAAGATACGGAGAGAAGAAGGGAGGGAGGGAGAGACAGAGAGGGAAAGAAGAGAGATAGAGACAATGAGGGAGGGAGGGAGAGAGTCACCTGAATGGCACTCTCTGTGAAAGTCACAGGAAATAATTCTTAGAAACGATTTCTAAGCATCCCAGCCTTTGCTAACCCTCCAGTGTAAATGGTAAGATGATGGTATCTGACTGGAGGGTGACCTGCTCAAGCAGGGGCTTACACCCTCTGCCTCAGTTTCCCCCCCTGCAGAATGTGGGGGTTGGGCCTGCTCAGGCACTATGAGGACCCACTGGGCCCCACCTCTGCAGGCTCCTTCCCAGCCAGGCCTGGCCCTCCTCATCTCTTCTATTCCTACTACTAGAGAGGGTCTTCCTTTGAAGCAGGAAGGGCCTCCTTCCTACAGCCCAGAGGAGGTTGGGAAGCCAGGAAAGCCCCATTCCCCTCCACACCCCCAGGAGAGCATGTGTACTGTGACATTGTCACAGCCAGCATGGCAGCCCCCACACAAACAAGCCATGGCACCCACTTACAAAAGCCAGTGGAATTCAATTGGGTCGTGTTTCATATTGGAATACAGAGGTAGCGAGGGTATTCATAAAATGTCTTACTGATTTCAAGATTTCCGATCTTCTTTTTGATTGCAGCACATTAATCTGGGGAGAGAGGAAGCCATTAGTCTAGACTCCTTTCAGAAAAGTGACCAATTCCACAAGCCAGGGAAAGCAGCTCACTCCCCAGGCCCCAAGGAAGGTGTCTGGGAAGGCCCATCAGGTCAGACTCAGGCTCCAGGGCACTTTTTGGTCAATACTCTTCACTCACTGGTAAAGCTGCAAACTAACAAAGAAAATGATCACCTCTCATCTTCTTCTTGACATCAGAGAAACAAGCCAAGACATAAATCACAAAACTGTTCTAATGGAGTCACAAGAAATGTAAATGGGCAGGGTTTTTTCTCCCCAAATACAAGTCAATGTGATTTTTAAGCACACCTCCCAAGGGTGATCTCTAAGAACCTTCACACCTGCAGAGTCTGAGGAGCACTGACAGTGTGAAACACTCGGGAACACAGCTGAAAAGCCAATCTGAAGAGGCTGGCATGCGCATGAAGAAAGCCAAGCAGCTGATGTCAGAAGGAGAGCAGCGAACTGAGGAAATGTTTTACAGCCAGTGTCTCTGAAAAAGGCCTCATATCTCATCTACATAGAGCACTCTGTCAAATCTCTAAGAACCGCAGTTATTCCCCAACTGATAAAGGGGCAAAGGATAGGAACAGGCAGGCTTTGGAAGAAGAAATCAAAGCTACCTGCAGTCATATGAAAAAATGCTCTAAGTCACTATGGATTAGAGAAATGCACATTAAAACAACTCTGAGGTATCACCTCACACTTAACAGAGTGGCTAAAATGATATAAGGGGAAAGGACCAATGTGGGAGGGGAGATGGACAAATGGGGACACTGATGCATTGTTGGTGGAGCTGTGAGTTCACCCAGCCATTCTAGAGAGCAGTTTAGAACTATGCCCGAAGGATTCTAAAGCTCAGCATGCCCTCTGACCCAGCAATGCCCTTACTAGGTCTGATTCCCAAGGAAAAAGGAAAAGAACTTCTACATTCTAAAGTGCTGATTGCAGCTCTCTCTGTGGCAGCAAAGACCTGGAAATTGAGGGGATGCTCATCCATGGGCACTGAACAAGCCGTGGCCTATGACTGGGATAGACTATTACTGCGCTAAAAGAGACAGCAAGCAGGCTGGTGCCAGAAAAATATGGAAAAGATGTGTATGAAATAATGAAGAGCAAAATAAGAGAAGGCTGGAAACAGTAACAGCAGCACTCTTCCAAGGGTAACTGTACGTGACTAAATTATCCTGAGTATTCTAAAGATTCAAATCAAGTGCAAGGGCCTATGAAGGAAGATGCTCTCCACCCCCAGAGAAAGAACTGACAAGAAGAAATAAACAGAAGTAGGCATGGCATGGTTTTGTTTGTGTGTGTGTGTGTGTGTGTGTGTGTGTGTGTGTGTGTGTGTGTGGGTGCGGGTGTGGATCTGTGTCAAACGATGGCCTTCTCTAGTGCAGGGTTGTGGGGAAGGGACAGAGACAGTTTGGAACTTACGGAACAATAAAATAAATAAAATTTAAAAAACAACAAGAGAAGAGGCCAGTGTGGCCTGATGGCAGACAGCAGGGAGCCCTAGGGTCAGTCTGTGGCTATATGACCACAGCAAAGCCCCCTAACTCTCACTGCCCCACGTAATTGTGCCTGTTCTTTCCAGAGAGATTGACACCACATTATCAGTGGAGGAGGTTTGCACACTGGGAGCTTCCTATGCTGCTAAAATCACAGGTTGCCCCGAATAAAGAATAAAGCCTTGTGCCGCTTACCAAAGAAATCAGAAGCCATGCAGCAGCCCCATTACGGGCCCTCTGCATAAGTGGCCAGGAGGTACAGGAAGCGGGAACATCACAAAATGAAGGCAATCGTCGGGACAAAAAAAATCTAACTTTTCCCAGACGGTGGAAAAGTCACTTTTCTGATGATAAATCCATTTTAAAAGTTAACTTCTATCTTATTTTAGTGTTGCTAAGGAGGTAAATCCAGCCGTCAGAGGGACACAAAGGAAGGGACCAATGTCCTTCACTCTCTTGGCATCCGGGCCCTTGAACGTAAAGGTCCCAATGACCCACAGAGAAAGATCCATACTCTGCTGCGTGGCTGTCCACACTCAGTGAGGCCTCCTGACTCAGAGGTCCCTGTTACCAATGGACAGGCCCAACAGGCGTGTGCAGAGCACTGTTAAGTGTTCACCCTGAAGGTGGACAAAACAAACCTCTTCTGTTCTTCCTAAGCCTGACAGAAAGCCTGGGAAGGCAGCATTTCCCAAGCGTTTAGTTGTCACGCCACTGCTGTGGCAAAGATGGCGGCAAGCTGTGGACTCCCCCGAGGCCGAGAAGACAGCTCTAGAGCCATGTGGACAGCGCAGAGGCCCTTGTCACGGGTGCGTGGCCTCCTGTGGGCTGGCCCTCATGGGTCAACATTTTCATCAATGGCTTCGATACAAAGAATCCCCTACCACATCTGTGAATGACATGGAACTGGGAGCTGAAAGGGCAGGAACGCCCCACGAGGCCAGAATGCTGGGCCTAGGCCTAAGAGGAGACTCACTGGGGATAAACAAAGTCTTACCAACATGGGATTAAAAAAGATCCATTTCACAAGTACAAGACGGAGACTGGTCTGAAGACCACGCTGAGGGGGGGGCACCACAGAGCACAGAGTATAGGACCAGGAGTCAGAAAGACCCGAGTTCAACTCCAGCCTTAGAGTTTCACCAGCTGTGTGACCCTGGGCAAGTCATTTCACCTCTTTTTGCCTCAGTTTACTCAACTGTAAAATGGAGATAATAACAGGACTGCTGTCAGGATCAAGTGACGTCATATCTGAAAAGTACTTAGCCCGGTGCCTGACACACAAAAAGCACTTAATAAATGACCACTCGGGAGCTCCCAACTCTGAAGCTCTGGGGTCACTCTCCCTTTATGTGACAGAAGACTAAAGCAGGGAAGGGACCAGCCCCCCAGAATACTGGCCGTCTGAGAACTACTACATGCTCTGATGCCAAGGAGGCATCTTCTGCTCCAACCACGGAGGGCCTCGAGGACAGCCTCTGGAGCCCTGCACCCACAGACACACGCACGCCTAAGGTGCCAGGCGCTGCGGGGGGATGGGGCCTGCCGGACCCCCAGCTGCCGCATACCTGCAGGACGTAGTCCAGGGCGATGTGCCGGAAGCACTTCCTGGTGGCCGTTAGGATGTTGGTGGCCTCTTCCACTTCATGCTGTTTGTTTCTTTGAACCTGGGCGTTTTTCACTAGGGCGTTCTCCTTCTCTTCACTGACCTTTTCAAACTGTTTCTTGGCATCTTTGAACTTTCTGAGATCCCTAAAAAGAGCAAGGTAGGTGATTGTCTTTAGACCTTTGAAATAATTCTGGCAGGTTCGACTTTAAGAGCACTCTGCCACTGCCCCTCAGTTGCGCTCCTGGCTGTTCCCCACCCGTCTCTTCCGGATCAAAGGCATGAAATTTTCTGAGCTGAGAACGTCCAGACCCTCTGACCCAGAGATCCCACTGCCAGGCCGTTAACCCAAGGATGTTGAGGACAGACACCGACTGACTTGGCAAAAAACTGGAACAAAGTAGGTGCCCATGGCCCTGCCATAGCCAACTCGCGGCACTAGAGTATTGCTGGGATACAAAATGGCCACAGACACGACCAGAGAGAAGAACAGAGGGAAGCCAGCAGACCCCAGGACACAAGATACCAAGGACACCAGCAACACCAAAGAAAGAAGCAGCCCCCACAAACGCGGAACAGCTAGAATGACCCAAAGTGGCCCCCGAGCAGTGACTGAGGGAGCAGGGCTCCTGCTGTGCTGAGGCAGCTCCCAATGAGGGGCTCCCTACAGGACGGGGGGGCACTGCCTCAAGTCAGACGGGTCCAATATGCTGGCCGACTTCACAGAGCTTTTCTTAGGGAGTGACTCTGGGAAGGAGCGGGCAGGAAGGGATAAACCGGGAAAGATAGGCAACAGAAAAATCACAAGACAGCAATACAATCTACTTTCTACAAAAGGACGAAATATTCCTGAACATGCATTTCTCCCTGACAATCACAACTTCTCAATAGCATCTAGCCCCCCACTCCTGGCAGTCGATGACCAGCAGGCCTAAAGCTTTCCCTCTGGCCAGCTGCCCGTCGGCAGGACCCAAGCAGAGGCTTCAGAATATTATACCATTTGGTTCTATCTCCCTACTATCCTGAACAAGCAGCTAAGTCTGAGAGGCCCAGAACGGGAGTGCCGGTCCTGAACATCAGCCATCCTTCCAACCTAGCCCTGGAGCCGAGGGCCAGAGGCACCAATCTTGTGGAAAAGACCACCAGTCTTGCCACCAATGCCAACTGCCACCCAACTGCAATGGACACACAGGTCAATCTAAGAGCCCAGGATCCACAGCACCCTCCAGATCACCGGCTCTGATTCTGCCCAACCAGGGGAGCAGCTAGTGTGATCCCCATCAGGAAACTCAAGAGCCCCAGAACAGCAACACGGTCCCCTGCCTGTGCCAAATCACGCCATGCCCATCCTCTAGGAGAGCAACACCAGTGTGGAGGGACCTGGTGACTGCCAGGGCAGTAACTGGAGCTCCTGGGCCTGGACAATGGTTCACCCACAGCAAAGGAGAGAATCTGATGAACAGACAGGACAGGAGGCCAGACACAAGCCAGAACGCACCAAGAGGGGGTGTGATTTTGTAACAATGCAAAGCTCTGTCTTTGTTCCCAATGGGAAGGGGTCACCAGGGCACCTTTTGGGAGCAGAGTGAGGCCAGATAGAAGCCAAGAGAAGTGGGAAGCTTGGAAAGCTACCCGGCACAGCCAAGGCTTCGTGATGCCTTCCAGAGAAAAGGCAACGGACAGAGAGACCTGCAGTGTCGTCCTGGACGAGCCTTCTCTTCTGGGCCAGGCCACACGTGCAGACGTCCACTCTACCTGGTGCCCTGCCGCCAGCCCGGCCTCTGTACCCCAGGAATCAGGCTGTGCCATGTCTTTCAGAGGACCCTAATTCCCACGATATCTGATAGGGGCTCAAGTTTATTCTGTACTTCATGGGGTGCCCCCTTTTCCCCCCTCCGCAACAGAACAAAGGGCAGACTTACTCTTTAACAAACGTCTGAAGTTGTGCCTTAATCGATCTCTGCGTCTGGTCAAACAGGATCTAGAGAACAAAAGAACAACAGGAGAAACGTTTAGGTCGATGGACACTTGGAGCAAAGTCTCTGGAAGGGGCAGTGAGGTGGCGCGGTGGACAGAGCACTGGCCCTGAGTCAGGAGGACCTGAGTTCAAATCCGACCTCAGACACATGATACTCACTAGCTATGTGACTCTGGGCAAGTCACTTAACCCTGACTGCCTTGCAAAAAAAAAAGAAAAGAAAAAGAAAGTCAAGTCTCTGCTGCAGATGACCACCAAAGGACGTGAGCTCTTGCTCACTTCTGCCACCAGCTCTGTCAGGACACATTTACTGTCCTGCACACAGACATTTGTGTATATGTGTGTACTTATATATTTCATTTTTTTGTCACAAATTTCCCAGCTATACAAACTTGTCTCTATCAAGCAGAGAATGGGCTAAACCAAAAAGAAAAAAAACCCAAACAAGCCAGTCTCTCTTCTTTGGGACTATTCCCTTTGTGGACAAAGGATTCAGCAGCAACGAACAAGGAAAGGAAGAAGAGCGGCTTCACTTACACAGCCCGGCCGGGCAGGGGAGCTGGGCAGGTCTCTCGGCTCCGGCCTGGTCACCCACCACCACTCCGCTGCCGCTCGTCTCTGCGCACGAGGCCTCCTCTGCCTTGGGCATCAGAGCGTTCCTCCCAGTGGTGAAGAGGCCAGAGAGGCAGCGGCCGAGAAGCCGTCCCTCCCAAAGCCATTTCTTCTTAGCTTCTCTGTCTTCACGTGGAACTCTCTGAGCTCGTCCTCTGTGAAGGGCAGACAGTTCTCATCATTTTCTGGGTATTCTTGCCGGCCCATTGCCTTCAATAGGCCGTGTGCCACTTCCAGTGAGAGAGGAAGGCCTTCTCCTTCCTCCACTGGGGGAGAGCGAGGCCATTTGATGGCAGCCCTCTTCCCCATTTTCCTCCGGTTCTCACGTGCTGTTCCCGTCCTGCAGTCAGTCACATTCTCGGTTCTCTGAGATCTCTCCCTTATGGTCAGCCTTCAGAGTCTTTAGGAATTCACTCTTTTTGTCTGCGGTCTGACGGGTCAGCTCAGTTAGGCAGCAGGAACTAATCTCGATGAGGGGGGTGGTGCTGGAGGGGCGGGAAGTACTGAACCACTTGCCAGTCCTACTGGTTTGGTGACAGCAACTGGACTGGTAAAGGCTAGAGGAGAGCAAGCCTGCTTTACGTCATGTCCCGTTCACTCTCCGTGGACTGGGCTTGGAAGGAAGCGCTGCCGGCTCTGGGACGAGCGTTCTGTAGCCACTTGGGACAATAGCTGAGGGCGTGCGAGGTGAAGTGCTGGTGAGGTGAATGCAGCAGAGAAGGCAGTGGCAAGATCCTCTATGGAAACCTTTTTGGTGACCAGCATCTCGGTAGGTTGACTGGCACTCGGAGGTTTTTCCCATGCTCCAGAAGGGGTCCCAACAGGTCGGCTTGGATGATTCTGTTTCCCAGCTTCTGGATTTCAAGATGGAAGGTCTTCCTCCTCAAACTGCAACCTGCCCGCCTTTCTTCTTTCTCTTCTTCCCTGCCTTGGAAGGTGGCTTTTCCTGAAAGGCAGAGCCCTTGCGGGAGCAGAAGCTCCCATTCCAGTGGCAGTGGGTCCCTGCTCTTCCCCCCACCCGCTGCACTGGCGAGTGCCAGCATAACTCCAGGCAGAGCCATGCCAGCCAGACTGGTTCCCATCAAGTTCGGCACGTGTGCCCTTGGAGACACCTGAATCCATGGAGTTGTGACGGAGCAGGGAGAGTTGGTGCCAGGAATCTCCTGGAGTCCATCGGGGCTCACTGTTTAAAAAAACCCATCAGAGGAGTTGTGTCTCCAGCGACTCACTCCAGACTGTCCTCCTGTGGACAGGGACTCCATGTTTTTCAAAGGAGACTTCACTGACTGTGGTGCGCAGAAATTAAGCCAAGCTGCGCCATTTAGATCCAGTGTCTCTCTTCAGCAAGGCGAGGGGGCTTCCAATCTCTCAGCCAGGATCCCAGAGCGTAACCTCTGTGGTCCTGGCCCTCCAACTCCGGACACTTGGCCCAGCCGGGTCTTTCACGTCATCCTTCGATCGAGAGGGGCTGGGGTGGCCTGGGCAGCAGCACACCTGCAAGGCACCAAAAGCCATGCCCTGTGCTGACCACCCCTCTGGCTCCGCAGCTGCTCGTTTCAAACCACTCTGTTTCTCACACTTACCCAAATAAAGGGGGGAGGGGGAGAACAGAAAAAAGGGGAGGGGGGACCACACACCTCTGTTCAGCTCATTCACCTGCCTTCAGGGTGGGCACTATGTCGTTGCTGAAGCAGACAGTACATGAGGATCTAGGAAGCTGGTACCAACGCTATCCATAGCAAGGCCATGGCTAGAGAGACAAGTGTGGTGAGGTGTTAGCAAAGGGTAGGTAACAGAGGCAAAATATAATTTTAAGGTAATAGAAAATAGTGAACTTGTAGAGTCAATCCAACTGAGAAATATCCACATGAGAGGGCATTTAAAATACTAATTTCATTATCCCCTAAAAAAAGAGTGTGTGTGTGTGTGTGTGTGTGTGTGTGTGTGTGTGTGTGTGTGTGTGTGTATCCACCATAGCCTGTAGATCTTGGGGTAGAAACAATCCAGCAGAAACCTGCTCTGCTTTGTGAAGATTCTGGACAGCACACTTGTGTTCAATGCTAGACTGGGAGTGGAATGCTTCCAGACATGTCATCTACTTCTTCAATGTGACCATTTATAAAGTGAAAACAAAATTAAAATGCAGAAATATGGGGGAGAAGAAGTTTCCCAAATGATGTTTTCTTCTCTTCAATTAGAGATCTTTGTCACTCCTCCTGCCCAACATTGGGAGCACAATCAGGAGAAAGGCTGAGAATGCTTCTACTGCAACAAGGTAGAGTCTGCTTCTTGTATCCAGTGCGTTTCCATCATCAGCCAATCCCTGAAAATGCCACAGGACTCAACTGGCTAGGCGGCATGCAACGGCTGGGGTGGCCTGAGTCCTCTGTCCCTCCGGGCCAGGCCCTGCATCCATACGGGGTTGTCCGTGTACTCGCAGAGACAGACAGCAGGACAGCAGCTCTTCCTGCACCCGCCTTGCTCCGGCTGACTCTGCCCCCAGCCCTGACTTTTCTACTTTTTAACCAGCACAAAACAAGCTTGATGATTTAAAATGACCGGCTTATTTAAAAATCCGCTTGACCTCTTTAAAAGGGTTCTTCTATTCCCATACTTTTTTGAGGAGCAGGAGAAGGCGGCAGCTAAATGACTCACACCTGACTCCCTAAAACAGAGGGCAAAACAAGTCTGTTGCTGGCATTCTTCCCACCTGGCCACATTCACTTCAAGACCCAAATTCAATGTCAAGGTACAGGGGGACCTTCACCATTCTTAGACCCACACCACCTTCACCAGGTCTTCGACATTAAGACCTTGATATCAGCCTAATGTGCTTGATTTCTACCCGGGTTATTTTTGAATGAATTTTTTCTCTCGTGGGATGTTTCACTGAGGAAAAAAGCCTGGCCCACCAAACCTCCCCGGTGCAAAGGAGCCAGTCCCTGTGGCAGATTCACTTGGGTCACAAAAGCCACTTTCTCTTCTCAAACAGAAGAAACGCATTACAAATGTGTGGCCAACGGAGAAGGCCAAGTTCAATGGCTTCCAGAGGAACTCACCAAATTCTGTTAGGCATTTTCCATTGGCCTTAGCCAAGAATCCATCAGGAAACCTGAGCCAACTGACAAAGCTCTCACTGAATCAATGTACAAAGCAGCTTAGAACCTACAGCTGCTCAGAACCCAAAGGAGTCACTCACGACGTCACAGAAACCCCCAGGTTCCAGCCAGACAAGCCACTTATTCCAAACGTCTTCAAAGTCTATTCGAGATCACTGGACATACAACCTTCTGGAGAACAGCTGATTGTCCTAGGTTCTAAATCTATTGTTGTAGCTTATCTAGTAGCAAAAGCTCAAACATATGTACGCAACCCAGAGGGATTCAACATCAACCCTCTGATGGTTAATTAGCCTGAAAATGGGAGAGTGATTTACTGCAACCCACCTGCGGCATTCAATGCTTACTGAGCACAACTCCAAAATGGTCACAAGAATCACTGTCCCTGGGGTCACTGTCACTGTTTATAACTTGTCAAGTCTAAGTCAATCGCGATTCAACCTTTAACTAGATAATGTCCCTCCATCTGGAAACGGTATTACTTGTTTTCTAGCGCCAGGAACAATGGGTGGGACTTGCAAAGACGCAACTTTAGGTGTCATGTTGGGAAAAACTTCTTATCAGAGTTGTCTCTAACTGGGAGGATGGGTTCACGGCAAGGATCTGAGCAAAACGCAGGGTATGCTGTATGTGTCTGCCCACGTCAATCAAGCAATAAGTAAGTGGTACATGGTACCAATAGTCCCTGCCCACAAGGAATTTCTGTTCTAATGGGGAAGGCAGCATGTAAATAAATGGACACATACAAAACGTATACAGAGTAAATGGAAGGTACAAGAGGTACTAGCAGCTGGGAAAATGGGTAAAGATGTCCTACAGAAAGTGGCATGTGAGCTGAGTCTTGAGGAAGCTAGAGATTCCAGGAAGAGATAAGGAGGGAGGGAGTGTGGGGTCTTCTAAGCATGGTGGACAGTGAGTACAAAGGCATAAAGGCAGGAAATGGACAGTCGTGTACAAGGGGCAGCACGTGAGCCGGTATGGCTGCAATGTTGGGAAAGGTAAGAACAAGCCAGTCTAGGAAGTGCTTTAAAAGCGAGGGTGCAGTTTACTGAAAGGAGGGTGAGGTGGCAGTTAAAGCTACATTTTAGGAAAATCCCTTTCACTGCCGAGTGCAGCGGAGGGCACTTTCCATCTCTAATTTCTGTGATTCTGATTCTACCATTTATACAGAAGCCACGGGCCCCAACTGTTTCACAATTAACCTGGCCAACTTGACATTTTTCTAGAATTTGATCCTGTCTGAAACAGTACAATTAACCCTGGAGCCAACTACTCTGGACAAGGCAATCCCATTGGCCGCAGATAGCATGCTGCTTTTTTGACCTTTCCAAAGCAGGGTGAATGTTCTCCTCCAGGGAAGGGGCCTCTTTTGTTTGCTTCTTTTAATCCAGGCTGTTTCCTTGGCTAACTTTCCCTTATAGACAATCCTGTGGTGCAGTAGAAAGAGCAGTGGCTGTCATGGCAGAAGATTTGAAACTCATGCTCACATTCTGTAGGGGTCAGTGACTTCTAGTGGCCCCAATTTCTTTTTCTGTAAAATTCAATTCCACAAATGTTTATAAAGCCTCCACTATGTTCCAAGCACCCAGGAAGATGGTGCTAATACACCACCTACTTCCCAGGGGCCATGAGGATCTAAGGAGATCCTAGAATAGCACCGGGAGAGCTAGGTTTATTATGTCCAATATATATACATACACACGTCTACATGTATCTGTGTGTCTATATGGACATAGGCACAAAATAATCACAAAGAGTATAGATAAGGCATATTCTCTACCTGTGTGTGTGCATACAACCTTTATCATGGGTTGGTGTGCTCTAATGAAGAGTCCAGCTCTACTGAAGAGAGGCATGAAGCCAGGACTTTACATAGCCACTATGACTTTATATTCCATACTCTCCTCAGGCTCTCATTGCAGCAAGACAATCAATACTTGTTCATTCCCCAATCAACTGACTTTCCCACTCACCCCAGTGGCTCTTCCAAAGCCTTCCAGGCTTCCTGGAGCCTCCCCACTCCCTCAGCTGATGGGCGCAGCTCCAATTATTTCACTGAGAAGACTGAGGCCATTGAAGGGAGCTCCCCGTCTCCCTTATTCCTCATCTCATATCATTCAGACACCTTCCCCCACTCTCTCCTCCTTCACTCCTGTCTCTCTTGACAAGGGGGTCCTTCTCTTCGCCATGGCAAGTCCTATGTACACCTCTGCTCCCATCTTCTCCATCTGACTGTCCCCTCTACTACCCTCACTCTCTCTCATCTTCCAGTTTCTTTCTACGTACTAGCTCCTTCCTTGCTCCCCACAAACACACACATGTCCCCCTCACTTGATCTTACTGCCCCAGTCAGCTGTCATTCCCTAGCTCTCCTCTCCTTGGCTAAACTGGCTTTCTAAACACTTTTTTCTTTTATCTACAAGCAGTGCCTATCTTCTCTCCTCTCGCTTCACTCTACATTCTGTGACCTCGCTTTCACGCTCCTCCCTGGACTGAAGCCACTGTCTCCCAAGTCACCAAGCCTCCTGCTCTTTCCCCAGACCTCATCCTCCTCAACTGCTTGGCAGCCTTGCACAGCTGAGCCCCCTCCTCACTCGGTTCTCATGGCACTGCTCCCTCCCAGGTCCCCTCCTCTCTTCTCGGTCTCCTTTCTGGATCTTTGTCCAGGTCCCTCACAAGGGTGGTCCCCAAGGCTCCTCCTCCCCTCCGATGCCCACTGCTTAGCTCATCAGCTCTCACGATTTCAGTGACCAGGTCTACAAAGATGACTCTCAGGTACATTGATCTAGCTCCAAGCCCCAGCCTCACATCTCCAACTAGATGTACCGTAGGCAAACTTCACCCATCAAAAACAGAACTCTTCATCTTTTCCACCAACCCTTCCCCTCTGCCCAGCTTCCCAGCTACTTGGAGGGTGCTCTCGTCCTCCCATTTGCCCAGGCTCCCAAGCCCACCGTGCTTCTTGCTTTCTCTCCACAACACACTCCACGTATATGCTCTATTGCCAAGTCTTGTGTTCCTGCCTTCACACATCTCCTCTATGCCCCCACACAGCCACCAGCTCAGTTAAGGCCCTCACTGCCGGCTGACGGGGCTGCCTGCCACAAGTCTCTTCCCCCCAGGCACCAAAAGGATTTTCCTAAAGTGCAGATCAGACCACTGTCCCCATCCCCGCCACTCCACGCACTCCAGCAGTCCCCCAGGACTCGCTGCCTACCCACCCTTCCTACCCTTCTGGTTGATGTACTTTACCGCCTGGCAACACCTGACTTTCTGGCTGTGAGCACAGGACACTCCGTTTAGGTTCCATGTCTTTTTCCTGGCTGCCTCCCATGTCTGCAATACATTCCCTCCGGCTTCCTTCAAGATTTAGCCCAAATTCCACCTTCTGCAGACAGCCTTCCCAGGTCCCACTCTCGAGTGTTAGTACTTTCCCTCGAGGTTGCCTTCCATCCCTTCTCTGGGTTTCTATCACTTGTACCTCATTGTCTGCATGTGATCTCCCCCATTAGACTGTGCGCTTCCCAAGGGCAGGGGCTGATTTCACCTTCCTTTGTACCCCTGGTGTCTGCCACACAGTAGGTGTCTACTGGCTGACTCTCCAATGCTTTAAAAAGGTTTTAAAAATGATTACACCCTTAGCAAACATTAACATACATTTTCATATAAAAAGAACAGGGAAAAAAACCTGAGGTCACAGAGCTCAGAATTAGCTGAGGTCAGATTTGAACTCAGGTCTCCCTGACTCCAATTCTAGCACTTGACCTACTAGGTCACCTCTGGTTTGTCCGTGGCTCCCTGTTAGGTCATTAAGAAAGAGTGCAGAGAATGAAGAAAAAAGGACCCAGGACGTGGCCTGGAGGAATGGCTCCCCAAGCAGGCTGCTTGGTCTGGACATAAATTGTCCCCCCAAAAGTAAATCTTAACCAGCAATTTCTTTCCTGAGACTCTGACTGAAAAGAGTTAAGAAAATAAAATTAAATAAAGAATTAAAAGATCAGAATTTTTAGGAGGAAAAAGAAATCAAAATTATTTATCATTTGCCAAAGCACAAGTTGTTTATACTCACTGAGCTTACTCAGGAATAAACATAGAAAGAAAAAATAAAAAAAATTAAATGACAGACATAGTGCTTTAATATTTAAGTAAAAATAAAAATCAAAAAACCCTGACCAATGTATAGATGAATTCTAAAAAACTTTTTGAGTGAGTTTTACAAATAAAGTGTTACATAAAATTTTCTTTAACATTCAGATAATGGCAGGCATTACTTCTGGAGCAATAAATGCCCTTCATCAAAAAGCATACTGAAGCAATATAAAAAGAGATTTTACAGAAAAAAAGTGATGTCGTTCCTTTTTAAAAGAAAACTTCTTCAAAGCCAGCAGATTAAAGGGAGGCATTTCATCCATCTGCCCTCCTCGGCCCCTCCCCTTCCAACTTCCTCCACTTCAAAGTAATCCCATTAGGTCCAAAACTCAAAGTCAGAGGAGCAAAAGAAGCCCATGACCAGCCCAGCCAGTGGCCAGTGGACGAAAGGTTTTCAAGACCAAAGAACTCCAATTTTGTCCTCTCAAAAAACTGTCCCCTCCCTCCCCAATCGCAGGACTTGGATATCATTTAGGAATTTTTAGGAAAATTCTACTCATAGTTATTCACACCCTGGTTATTGGCAGCACTTACTGTGTGAAAATTGATCATTTCCTGAAGACTTTCAGAAAATTTGGTCAAGCTTGTCTGCAAAAGAGAGAAATGAAGATAAAATCATTAAGCAAAGGGAAGGGGAAGGGAATAAGCATTTATAAAGCACCTATTATGTCCCAGGCACTGGGCTAAGTTTTGGTTTTTGAACAAATATTCTTTCATTTGTATCATTAAAACCTAAAGTAGAGGCCACAGATATTTGTGGCCCAGCTGAGCCAAGATTTGTAGAACTGAAAGCTGCTATTGATCAGTGAAGCCAAGATCTCACAAGGGTTTGACAGGTGTTAAGAATGTGACATCCTGGAAAAGGGAACACTCAATCTCACGCCACCACTGCTATGAAGGCAGGGGGAGACCGGAATCCAGGTGCACAGCCACTAACACAGCCACGAGGCCAGTGCACTTTGTTCTCAGCTCGCTCTCTCCCACGCATGATACACAATGAAGTATACCAAAAGGGAGGCTGACCACCCCAGGCCTGCAGAGGAAAGCCCTTAACCTACCAAGAGTCTCCACTCTGACGAGGCTGAACGTAAATAAAAGTGGTAGCAGATTCAGTAAAAGTCAGCCCCGGTTTGGGCTCACTTCTTTAACTAGGCACGTTTGACTGGAATACATGCTCATCTACGTTGAGATCACCTTTAGGGAACATCCATCGTCCCTGTCCCCACAGGTAAGAAAGCCACAAAATTACCCAAGTACTTGCTGGGGAATTGGAGCCACGGATTCTAAGTCCCATCTCTGCAAATTCTCTGGACAGTGACATGACCTCTCGGGCCTCGGCTTCCTCACGTGTAAAATGGAGGTGGAGAAGCGAAGAGGAGACAAGGCCCCAGGGGACTGGGCTGTACCACCTCTGGGTCTTTGGCTGGAAGCCCCAAAGGGTGGCACCACTGCACGGAAGGGCATGAGGAGAACATCGCACCCTTGGTTTTGTGACTTGGGAAATCTTCCGCTACATTTTAGATCATTTGCTTTCCTAACTGTCTTTATGTTAATACTCACCTCCACTACCGTATCTTTACTAGAATACTGGGCCAAGTCTCGAATTCCATTCACAAACTGCTTATTTGCGACACAAAAGGCTTTTCCTGTGTCAATCATCGCGATACAAAGTTTCACAAGCTGAAAAAAGGAAAATGTCTCAGTTTCACAAATCCTTTCCATAAGGGAGTGTGAACATCTTATCTGCATCACAGATGAAAGCTCATTTGACTTCATCATTAAATAAACAAAATGACTAGCCAGTTCACAGGAACAGCTCCAGCTGACCCAATGTGACTCTTACTCTAAGCCAGCAGTGTCCAGGTAGAGCCCCTTTCAAACCCACCCCCAAGACTGTTTCTATTAAGAACAAAACCAGGAACAGCTCCAATGAGCACAGCCCCATGAGCTGAGCCCAAAACGGCCAGCCAGAAAACCTCCCAGACTTCTTAGAACTGCTGTCTACTCCTCAGCTCCTTGTAATTCATATGACCACAAAAGCTGCTGCCTAGAAGACATCTGTAAAGCACAGACAAGAAATTAAAGACTGTGGAGGCAGAGGCGGCTGTTTCCACCGATGGCCAGAGAGCAGAGGCAAGGGCTTCAGAACAGAAAGACAAATCAGAGAAGTGAACAGGCTGCCACAATCACTGTGTGAAAACTGGAAAGCGGTCTCTCAGAAATTCGGGTTAAATCAGTATCTCCCATCACACCCCACTGTAAGCTCCAAGTGGATATTAAGCCTGGACAGAAAAGGTTAGAGAAGATGCCTTTCACAACTACACTTAGAGGAAGAATGCTCGTCCAACCAAGAGGATGGAGGATCACAGGAGAAAAGATGGACAATTGTAATTATATAAAATGGAAAACTTCAGCACAAAGCCAATAAAAATAAAAACAGAAGGGAAACAGTTACGGGGGGGGGAATCTTTGAAACAAGGTTTAATAGCCTTATTAGATATGTAATATTTGTAATAAAAACAAACAAGAATCATTGCCAAATAGATAAACAAAGGATAAAAACAGGCAATTCTCAAGGGAAGAAATCCAAACAATCAATGGCCACATGGAAAAACTCTCCAAATGGCTAATAATGAAATAAATACAAATTAAAATAACTGAAGTTCCACCTGCCATGAAATTTACAAAGATGGGCAAAAAAAGAGAATGACAATTGTCCAACGGGTCATGGGAAGAAAGGCACACTAACGTACTGTTAGTAGAACTGTGAAGTGGCCCAGTCATTCTGCAAAGTGATTTAGAGCTAGACTCATTGACAGAGGCAGCTGGATGGGGCAAGTACAGGGCTAGGCCTGCAATCAGGAAGACCGGAGTACTAATATAGCTGTGTGATGCTGAACAAGTCACTTAATTGTTATTTGCCTCAGTTTCCTGAACCGTAAAATGATCACAAGAACAGCACCTACCTCAAAGAGCTCTTGTGAGGATCCAGCGAGGCCATCTTTGGAAAGTGCCTAGCACAGTGCTGGTGATCCAGAAATGCTAGCTATCATCATTATCATTCCCTTCCCTTGCCCTGATACCATTTTTAGCATTCAACCCAAAGAGGTAAACAAACCAAGAGGGAAAAGATGCATACGTCCAACATAGCTACATGACTGCTTTTAGTAGAGCAATGAACTGGGAATAAGCGCTTGCCCGTCACCTGGGAATGACTGAACAACCTAGGTTACTGGAATGGAACGTCGGTTTTTATTATTTTGTGAGGTTTGGGGTTGTTTTTGAAAAAAGACAAGGCTATGTTTGCCTGATATCTCACACTTCCAATCCAAAGGAAACACTGAACAGTAAGAGAAAAGGAGCAAACTGTCCACATGTCATCTACCTACTGAGATGAAAACCAAGAAAAAAAGCTTCAACACTGTGTGAACAGCAATGAAGTCACCCAGAAATTCACGTGACTCAAAGTCTAAGAAAGATGCAAAGCATGGCACTCCTGGGCCTCAGACGTCTCCATATAAATGCATCGAGCACGGGCGACAAGCCACGTGAATCTGAGATCACGATGAAATATCACTGAGTCAGGGCAGAATGGGAACCTGGAAGGGAACCGAACTCTGGAAAAGCACATGAGATTCAAGAGGAAAGTGGGGCGGGGAGCACGGGGGAGTAGAGCAGCACTGGGTATTGAGAAGACAGGCTCCCAAGGAAATCCAGGAGCCCAGAGGGAAGCGTGGCAGAGAAGCACGATCAGGGAAAAGGGACTTCACGCGTTTAGACTTTGTGGGAGAGCTCTCTCTTACTTGGTCTGAAGCAGAGCAGCTAACAGCAATGTCTAAAGGTCACAGGAAGGAAGCGAGAATGTCACCACCAAGGAAGAGCTGGTCACTGAGGAATAAATGGCAGGAATACAGGGGGAAAGGATCACTCCATCTTACAATCTGTGACAGAGGCAGATGGGAAAGCTGGACAGGATCTGACGTGCACTCGAGATCTGGGAAGAACACATTTCAAAGGATCCAGAGAAGGGAGAAGTCGGATCCCATGGACTAAAATTCTACCAGGCAAGTGCACCCAGGAGGTAGAGTATCGAGTTCTCAAGAATAAATTCTGAAGATACAAAAAGAAATAATTCTAATGAGGAAGAAAAAGAGTTTTCTAAAGAGACCAATGCTGACACACTAGAAACTCATTAATCAGCTTAGTTTTTAAAAACCACAGAGACTATGGAAGGAATAAGAACAGCAACAATCACAACAACTAATGCTCCTCTAGAACTTGAGGGGAACCCACTAAGGAAGGCTCAACTCCATGGCAGACGAAAAGGCCGGAGAGCGAAGCAGAAGGGCCCAGCGGAGCTTCGCAAGCAAGGGGAGAGAAGAGGGTCCCCAACCAGTGGCTGCTGGGAAGGCAGTGTTAACCCAAGAGCTGCCACGCGGCCCCACACCAGGTCAGGAAAGGGTAGGGACGGGAGGGGGGCATCTAGACAAAAGTGCCTGGTGGGAACTGGGAAATGGGGGTCAGGGCACAGCTGGGGGGGGGCTGCTAGGGCTCAGGCAGAGGAGGGGCAGCTCCCTGGTTCCCTGGGGTTGCTCCTGGACCATAAACCCCAGGAGGACAGAAGCTGTATCTTAGCTAATTTTTTTATTTGGACACAGAGCCCAGCCCAGCACAACACTCTCACTCCAGCTGGTACTTAATAAGCATTTTTTGGCATGAACCGTATCACTGGTGTGCTAGTAACCTCAGGAATACTCTGAGTTTCTATATAATAATTAAGAGGAAATTCAAAGACAAGATCAGAGAAACCAGCAGAAACACAGAGACCAAGACTAAGCAAACACTTGCCCCGCAGACAGAGGCTGACTTCTCGAGCTTTATTCACAATCATGACCATTTCTGCAAAAGTCACTAAAAACAAAAAGTCCCAGATACGGAACAAACTTTTTCCTACTGCATACCGGTGTGAAACTAGGCACAGCCAAAGCTGTACTCGAACATTAAATAACATAACTATTTCACTAGCTGATTACTAAGCAACAGAGAATGACGGCTGCCATCTTGTGAGATAGATGTCAATATCCCCCAAGCTGCTTTCATGGGTCTATGATAACACTGGAAGATGAGGATGGCTTCAGTCTCTGCTTACAGGTTTTTCAGCATCTATGGATTACGAGGGGAAGTCTGACGGGACTTACCTTATCGAGCTTGAGTTCCAACTCTGCCACGTCTCCTTCCACCTCTTCCAAAGCAGCCCTGCAATGGTTACCAGAAAGCACTTAATTAAGATGCCTTCACTCACCAACCCACATCGATCATGTCTCCTGACTTACACCAAGTCCTTCCCAGCCCAGTCAGGGCACAAGGAGGCTGAAGAGCAAGCTCTTGGTTGCAAAGTTCCCCAGGACTCGGGAAGGGTCAAGTCTATGCCATGCAGGGAGGTCAATAGGATGATCTGACGAATGAGATCGTGATCCTGTATAACCCAACCCCTTCCAGAAAAGGGGGCCCTGTTGACATAGCAGCCAACAAGCAGGGGAGGAGGCTGCAGTCAGATGGTGACCCTGACCCAGGACATTCTTATCACATTCTGTTTCTGTCTCTTTTCTGGTTGGACCAGATCTATAATCTCATAAGCTCTGAGGGAGGAAACTCCATCCACCAATGCATGTCAATCTACAGGCACAAAAATAGAAATGTGAGGAATTCAACCTCTTACACGACAATTAAATTACTGGACGACAAAAGCATCACTGGCAAAAAGAGAAAGGGGCCCCTTTTGCTGCTCTAAACCGAGAAGCGTCAGTATTCCTCTGAGGGCTTCCCATGGCCTTAAGAAGCTGAGTCACCTGCTCCACCAACCATCTCCTAGCTGAGGGACAGAGAAATAAAAATCAAGGGAAGGGAAGCAGCAGAGGAAGAAGAAGCCCAAGGCGAAACCCTGCAGAAACAGGATGATGAAGCTCCACACAAAACGGACAGAAGGGCAGAGGAACTGACCGCCTGATATTCTGAAGACCAATAATGGACCCTGGGACTGAGGACATTAAGGACAACCTGTCTACTAGAAAACTAAAATCTCTACTTGGAAAAACTGAGAGAAAAATTCTAAGTCTCCAGTTCCTTGTTTTGATAGAGCAAAACAATGCCTTTTCTCCCACGTATGAAAAGCATTTCTACTTGTGCAAGCTGCTTCTCTTAGTGCTCAAATTCACTTTAATGTGTGGACTTTGGTGGATTCCACACTTCCTAGCAGAAAGGGCCTCAGGCAGAGACCACGACCTAAAACAAAGCCCTGCCTTCAAACTGCAGAAACAACACGTTCTGATCTGGTTAGAAACGCATGCTGCTGGTGGCGCAGTAGGAGTCGCCCACGCTAACAATGCCGGGAGAGGTGCTCACCATTTTACTATCGGATCTCCCGTGCTCCTCCCAACAATTCTGTGAGGCCGGTGCTCTTGTCCCCTTCATGTTTGCAGACGGGAAGACCGAGGCTGAGAGGAGCCAGCTGGCCTGCCCACAGGCAGAGAAGGGTGGGCGGGGCTTTCCGACTCCAGAGCTGGCCTCATCCACTACCGCACCGACCTCCAGGCGCCATTCACAAACCGTAGCCCTGGAGTTCAGTCTTGCCAGGGACGCTTTTTTTTTAGGCAGCTGGGGTTAAGTGACTTGCCCAGGGTCACACGGCTAGTACGTGTCAAGTGTTTGGTCTGAGGCCGGATCTGAACTCAGGTCCTCCTGACTTCAGGGCCAGGGCTCTATCCACTGCGCCACCCACCTGCCCCTGAAGCTAGGAGTTCTAAAAGCTGGCAATGAGAAAGGAAAGCATGGGGGGGGGGGGCCGCAGCCAATCAATCAGTCCCTATTGCCCTAAGTTACCGTCGTTTAAACTGTGGAGAGGAGAGATGGCACATCACCCGCCACAGTGAGTAAGATCAGGCTAAAGCTGCACTGGCCCCCACAAATGGAGCCGGCCTTTGGGTGAACGGGAAGCTCGGCGAGTCAGCAAAGGGGTGCGGCAGCCAAAGAAGCGAAGGCAGAACCTTCAGGAACGGGAGGGGACAGTCCTGCTGTCCTCTGGCCAGAGCTCTTGGGGAGACTGGGGTCAGGCCCTGGACCCTGGAGTGTCCGGAGGACAGCTGCCAGGGAGGGGCTGAACAACATCTGGAGCGCATCGAACTGGAGGGGCATCATTTTGGCAGCCACAGAAAGGAGGGCCAGGGGGCCGGCATTACAGAAGTCACTGCCATAGTCCAACATGAGGGACGTGCAGACTGAGATGCTGCTGCTCGTGTGCAGAGAAGGGCATGGATGGAAGGGATGTTATGAGGTCCAATAAGACTGGGAAACGACCAGACGGGAGGTGAGGTAAAAGGGGAAGGCAAAGCTGGGAGCCTGGGGATCTGGGAGAGGGCAGTGCCCTGGGGGAACTGGGAAGTCAGAACTAGGAAAAGAAAGTCACCATAGAGGCAGCCAGCAAAAATGAGTCCTCTGGCTGTGCCTTCCTCAGATGGGTCAGGACAATCGTCTGAGTGAGGAAGTCTACTAGGAAGACGAGTCCTTTTCTCCATTCATTTCAATATGCACGAGGAGGGGGACAAGGGAGTGCCCACTGAGCAGCACTAGAGGCACTGGTGGCAGCAGCATCCGCAGCTCATAAACAAGCTTGCCAAGGACCCAGTCGTGGGAAAAACCGAGGATCTGCTGCCCTGCCAAAGGCCATGGGCCTGGATCAGATCCCGAAGCCCTTGAAAAGCCACTTTGGAAAGAATGCCAAAGTGGAAGGATGCTATGGGCAGGTGCAACAGCTTGAAGGTTTTACTCTAAAATTGCTAACACAAGTTCATTTTTCAAATACGGATGTCCTAGGGGCTGCTAGGTCGCACGGTGGATAGAGAACTGGACCTGAGTTCAAACACTTGACAAATACTAGCTGTGTGACCCTGGGCAAGTCACTTAACCCCAACTGCCTCAAAAACAACAACAACAACAAATACAGATGTCCTGTGCTTAAGAGCAGACTTAACCCTCAAAATCTGTGGATAAAACATGTTTTACATGCACCAGGTAAGTTTGCCTTTTAACACACTCCTTTTTATAAGGTGATCGCCCATTAACTTATTCAGTAAATCTGGGAACAAACAAACCACCACCAAAAATAATCTACGTTCCAGGGCATAGAAAGCTGGCTGCAGAGACAAGAATTCCAGCACAAATTCTAGTCTTTCCTCAGTCACATACTGCAACCTTCATCCTGCTAATTCCAAAAGATACAGAAACATCAGGGATCAAAGAAGGAACAAAAGGAAGATGGGAAGAAATACTACCACACATCACAAATTTATCCAGCCAAAGCGAGTCCGTTTTCCTACTGTAAGGGGAAAACACCGGCACTTTCAACACTAAAAATACTTCACATCGACTCAACAGCAGGCCTCTCTGCACAGCAGCCGCTTCTGGGCCTTCCCAAAGTGCCCTTCAGCGGTAGCTAGGCAGATAGAGCTCCGGCCTTGGGCTCTGGAGGACCCGAGTCCAAATCTGACCTCAGACACTTGACACTTATTAGCTGTGTGACCCTGGGCAAGTCACTTAACTCCAAAATAAAAAAGCAGAAAAACCAAAGTGCCCTTCTGTGGCCACAGAGCCACTTTATAGGGGACACATTATTTCTACATACATGGTCTTTCAGCATAACCTCCAATCTAATGCAGTCCTCATATTAAAACAAGCCCAAGAGACATTTGGGAAAACCCTTCTCACAAACTAACACACCATCAGAATACAAAACTTAAAAATGGATCAAAAGTTAAAATGACTGGAGATCTCCCTTATAACAGTGCCCCCCCCCCCTTTAATCTCAGAAGTCTTTAAGGGACCAAGGTGTCTGTTCCCTTTAAAAAAAAAAGTCAGAGAAACCATGCAGCCTCAGGCAGCTTACTTCTGGGCTGTATGAAACAGGACAGATGTAGGCCAGGAAAGCTTTCAAGTTCCCTCCAGCCCAAAGATCCTGGGATTCTCAGCCTCCAGAATCCTTCCCATGTGCCAAGGGGCAGCAATCAGCATATGGATGTGATTTTCAGTCTCTGTCTCTCCCAAACTTTCCCTGGGAAAGATCTTGGCTCAGGGGCCAGCGCAGAGCTCCCTGCTGATCTACACAGCTCAGCAGCTAAGAAAGGAAATGCTGCTTTAAGGGCATGCCAATTAATTTAACTGTTTGGAGAAAGGCTTCGTTCTCTGTCTGTACCTGTATATTTCTGAATGAGCACTGTTAGAAAAGAAAAATTTTGCTGCTGCTGCTGCTGTTAAAAACCCTGGGTGCAAAAAGGAGGAGGCAGAGAAGGGAAACCCTGGTTCTTCCTGCCCCAGGGGCCCCTCCCCCTCTCCAGCCCCCCCCCAGGGGCCCCTCCCCTCAAACCAGAGCAAAATCACCAAGAGCCAGAAGAACCCGAGGAGGTCCAACAGGGCCCAGGGTCATTCAGCATTGACAGGCCTGTCAGAGATGGGCCGGCTGGCCTGGGGCTTGTGTTAGCCATTTAAAACACATATGTACCTGGGAGCAGCAAAAGTTAGCGGTTCTTGTGACTTTTCTGTTCACAACAGATACCCTCCGGCCCTTCAAAAAGAGACCCTGCTCCCCCCCTCACCAGGCTTCCTAGGCCCTGTAGGTGGTATCTTCCCCATTAGAATGTATGCTCCTTAAGCACACGGGCCTGCTTGTATTTGTACTGCCAGCAATTAGCACAGTGCACGGCCCACAATAAGCATCGAACACCTGCTCTGTTACACACTGCAATGACGATGATGATGATGACGATGACAGCAGCATTTATATGGCACTTTGAGGTTAGTAATACACCTCATAAATGTTATCTCATTTGATCTAGGGACATTAGGAAAAATCCATTTCCCCATTTCCAGAGGAGAAACTGGGGCTGAGGAAAGTCACATGACCTGCCCAGCTCGGTGTCTGAGGCAGGAGTTGAACTCAGGTGTTCCCCCCCTCCAAGTCCTGCTGCCCACTGCCCCATCCCCGTTCCCTTCCCCCAGACTGCCTCGATTACAAAACAAGACAAACTTACTATTTACAGCCCAAACCCACTGAATAGTCCCCCAAATCTTAGTTCTGACAATTCTAACCCTGAAGTCGAGTTCCTAAAACAGGAAGCAGAAAACCCTATTTTGGAAACATTAAAGCAAAGTTTTCTGTCTCTAGAGTAGGGCCTTGCTCCAGGCTCAGCCCAGCCCAGCCCAGCTCA